ACAAGAAGGAAGAAGAAGACGAAGAATAAAGGTTGTGATTCATAAAATAGTCTTTTGAAAAATTGAAGCGTTTAGTATGAATTTTCATAGACTTCCGGATGCTACGCGAAACCGACACGCTTACCATCACCCAAATATCAACAAACGAAGAGTTGTCCAGAGGACATACCAATGACCACTATCAGAGACATAACTAGAAACGAAGAAAAACGTCAAAGAAACCAAATATGTCATATCAAAGAAATTTCCAAACTAAATTGGAACTGGGTTTGTCATGTGGCAACAATGAATTGTAGCATGCAATGAAGCAAATACCGGAATAGCGACCAATGATTAAGAAATGAAATAGTGACATAATCATATACGTTGGACAGACAATTTGAAATTGAATAATGGCAAAAAACAAGATGCAAGCAGCTCAAAACAGAAATTATACTTTTGAACATTATACATTATACACCATCCATTCCATTGAATAGTTTAATACCAGAAAACTAATATTAAAGGCGATTTATAATAAACAATTCACGCACTCACTCTTTCGCCAGTTTCCTTTTGCTTTTTTGAAGAAATTACGTATAAGAAGTCCTACTTTATGTCGTAGCAATGATATTATGACATAAATAGTTAAGATACTAGTCAAAAGCAGGGATGAAAACTATATTCTCCGAGCCGGATCATGTTGTGTCATAATATATGGTGGAAACAATTAAAAAGGAGTCGATTTTAAGAAATTTTTAACTGCCCTAGGTAATATATTCATCAAAAACACAGTGGTATAAGGAATATATCCATCAGAGAATCTTGGACATCCAAAAGAGATACTATTCAAAAGGAAGTGTTGAAAATAATATTCTCGAGAGCTGGATCAGGTTTAGAATAATGTATGATGAAAAAAAAAAAAAAAATAATGGGCAATATTTCTTAGAAACTAACAGGAATTCTTTCAGGCTATTTACTTAAGGCTAAAACAACATTGATATTGGAATCTTGGAGAAGCAGCACGCATATTTTGCAAAAAAGACAACACCATTATATACACACTGCAACTGACACGGTTTTGTGTGTCCAATTAAGTCCACACCATATTATGGGAAACTTTTTATTAAGTTTTGTAAAAAGTTTTGCATGTTCTAAAACCTAAAATAAAATCATCAAATATTAAATTTTTCCAGTTATATACGCGGTTTGTCAAAAAATAGTATTGTGGATATTGTTCCACATACAATTGTATTACATTAAATTCATATTTTTTGACAAACCATGTATATGACTACAAAAATATAGTATCTGATGATTGCATTTTGGGTTTTACATCATTCAGAACTTTTTATAAAGGATTTTTTTTTCATTAAATAAAAAATAAAAATAGTTTCCCATATGGTCCAATTAAGTCTGCACCATATGGAAAACTTCTCTGTAGTTTTATTATTCTCACGTTTTCCTTTTTCCTTTTTTTCCTTCTCTACTGAATATTGCCTTTTAGGTTCTCTCATGGTGGCTAAAAGCAAAGAATATAAATATGTAGCGAAGATGACATCTTGTACTGTTAGGTCACACTGCGACCTATAAGATCTATTGAACCCCCAATTTTTTGTCTTCTCTGGTGTTTTCTTTGGACTTATTATTTTCTTCTATTTCATATAGGTACTCCCAAATAACGTGCTCTAAAGTCTCTAAGAGCCTAGCAGACAGTTTGATAGTATTTACATAAAAGTTTCACTATCACTTATAATCACATATAATCTACATTCTGCAACATCTATTACTTTCAATTTTTTCAGGTGCTTTCTCGGTTAAAGTGTTTTTGCACCTTTTTTGAAAATGGGACTAAGGGAATAATTTCAGAAATCAAGATTTTCCTGAAATTTTGCAATATCGTTGGTCTATAATATAACAAAAACAAAGAGGAAGTTTATAGATAGGTGTAAAATAATGAAGATTAAAAATAAAGTCAGTATTTTGTCGGTATATATTAGGTTGAACAAATAACTCACCTCAAAAAAATAATATCGGTATCACTTCCGCTGCGCTATCAGCAAAAATAACAAAAAAAAAATGTTGAGAGTTTTGGTATCTATGTATTTCGCGACCTCAGCGGTAGCGTGGAATCGCTAAGCGTTGTATATTCGTATGTTTACACTCAAACGAAAGCATCGTCGAAAATATAAACATACACATAAAGGACGTCGGTGTAGTCAGGACAGGATATCCGTATCCTTGTCCATATAAAAGCCATATAACAGGAAAAGGAAACATATTATCACCGATTTTCAATTGCCATTATCATTTTTCCGTTTTATTCATTTAAATACAAAATTCCTGTTTTGTTTATAAAATTATATTACTCGATTGGGTAATGATATGTCCGGATTTTTACTTATTGATATATAACCAGCTTACTATTTCGTACAAGTTAGTATGTCAGTGTTTATTACAATGATTATTATACTTATACTCAATTTGATAATGTATGATAGCATATTTTTTATGGCAGGTTTTTTCTACAGGACTGCTCAAAGCAGAAAAATTATAAATATCGATACCTTCTTGCCTCAGATTTGTACAGGAATTTATAAACACAATATGACCACCCCGACAAACTTCAAATACAATACAATACAAAACGAACATGAGCAAATCTTAATAGTTTAAGAAAGAATTGCACGTCTTGGTAGCGGAAAACATGAGATATTTACCCTAAAAATATATCAATAAGCACATATCGTTATTACATACCTAAATACATCAATCTGGTATTGTCATAAATCAAGAGTTTCATTGCGATACAAGTCGTGTAGATACAGTGCATTTTTAAATTAGCAAGTCGGTCGAAAAACGGATCTAAACCGAGCAATAATTTTTTACTATTTTCGGATAGGATTATCCCAACAGCAATGTCTCGGTGAAATGGTTTCTGTGTTTGGGAATGAAGCATCATACCAGACAAGTACTTCCCGGTGGTATTGCGAATTTCAACGTGGTTGCTCATTGCAGCAAAACATTATTGATGCAGTTTGTCACCTAATTTAGGATGACCGCCGTGTAAAATACGGGAGATACAGGCACCTTTGGTTGGGTATTTCAAAGACCTCGATCCAAAACATCCTACATGAAGAACTGGGTGTTAACATTGATTGAAATATTATAGGGGCCAATATTTCAATCAACAGTATTACGAAGTTGATTTCCCGTTGGATCCCTCATTGCTCACAAAAGAGCAAAAAGTGGTTCGCGTCAATTAGTGTCGAAAAACATTGGAACGGTTCAACAAAGAAAGCTCAAAAAACGTTTATAGTATTGTTAGTGGCAATGAAACTTGGATTTACTCCTACTAACCGAAAAATAAACGCGAATCCGCTGTGTGAGTGTTTCACGATGAGGAAAAACCAACAAAAGTGATCCGTTCTGGAAGTGTCTCAAAGAAAATGGTCACAACCTTTGTGTCAAAATCTGCTGATGTCGCAAAAATTGCTTTAGAAGATCGAATAACGGTTACTTTTGATTGGTATATAACCGTTTGTTTACCAGAAGTTATCGCCGAAACTCCGACAAAGCAACACACAACTTCGAATCATCCTACACTGCCCAAAAGACAATAGAGTTTTTGAAACTTCAAAACATGGAATTGTTAAACCCTCTATCATATTGCCCCGACCCAACGACTTCTTCACGTTCCCAAAGATCAAGAATGCGTGGGCAGCGATTCCAGCGGCCAGAAAAAGTCATCGATACCTATAAAACAGCAAATTTGCAGGTGTCAACTGAAGACTGGAATAACTGTTTTACCAGTTGGCTTGGACGTATGCAAAAGTGTATCACTCGTGTACAACCTTCGTACAACATATAAATGTCAATGGTGAAATGGATTAGTTGTATAACACACAACTAATCGATTATCTAGATCCATTATCGTTATAGTGATATTTAATATCCCAATCTCATCTTCAATGCCACATTCAGACCTCTTTTTTATAGAATTTGACATCAATATCCTTCTATAAATTTTTATTGAATAATACGAACAAAATAATAAAGTGTTATAACAAAATCAACAGATAGAGAACAGGCAATTCGCAAGATTTACTCTACAGATTTCGAAAAACTGTTAAATACGCTAATATTTTACTAAAAAGACCCAGTCATCAGAGCTCCAATAAGCGTAAAATAATGATCAAAGAACATAAAATATAACAACTCATAAGGTTAAGTTGAATGGGGATAAATAACATGTAGGTAATGGACAAAACAGCAGAAGTAACGAAACATGCAAGCAAATTAGCCAGAATATCGGGATAATTAAAAGGTAGGTATACCTAATGTCATTTAGGTATTATGTGTAGTTTTTAATCAATGCTAATATGGAACAACAAATAAATGAACACATATTTTAATCTGAACATAGGTGGAAGATCAAAAACGAAACGAATGCGAACAAATGACAGTAGGCACTTACTCAAAAAAATTTAGAATAGTTAATTTGGTCCACCTAAGGGCCCGATATGGAAAGAAGACACAGTGAGGAACGGGAAGGTATAATCAAAGAATATAGAGGCATATAATATATGCGTCTATATTCTTTGGTATAATGTTATTACATACGGGCACAATGTCTATAAGTTTGGACGAAATGATGAAGAAATAGCAAAATTAGCCAAACATTTAAATATCACAATAAACTCAGTATTGAGACCTGAGCAGTTGTATAAAGAACATCACAAAATCTGAAATAATTGAATAAACAGGCCTATATCTTAAGGTATAGTCTAAAACTAAAGTATATTCATTGATGAAAATCAATAAAGTATAACTAATTTTATAATTAGTACTACAAACTGTTAAAATTATTAAAAATAATATTTAATAGTCAAAGTTATATTTAACAATATTCTTAATAATTTAGCAGAATTATATCTAGTAGCAACCGTGATTGCAGATTTAAAGGAAAAACAGGAAACTAAACAACATGATTATAATATAGATAAACAATTTTTCCTCACCTTAATTTTTCCTAGTCCAATTAAAAGAAAATCATTAACAAAACTGTACTAGTTTTCATAGATAAGAATGTAAATATTGTACTTTTTTTCGAAAAACAAGCGCGCACTCTGTATTAGAGAAGTCCTCCCCACACGTGGTACAAATGAAAACTGAGCTGGTGCTGTCTAAACAGCCGGGTGGGTAAACAAACCTTAATCTGTGCCGAACCCCGAACCGCCGAACGTTCGAAATTGACGGCGCACGCAGCACGCAATGTGTTAATTTTTTGAATGACCAACAAAATTTTGAATAGCGTTGAAATTATGGGAGTAGAAAATAAATATATATGGGCGGAATTTACCCCCAAACAGTACCGGTTCGTAAAATTATTTAGTACTTTAATAATTTAATGCTTTTTATTTTCTAATAATATAATAAATAAATGACTTTTGTATTATTATTAAGTTCTATGACAAGAATAGATTTCAAGAAGGAACGGAATGTTTGAGTTTCTTTGATTTTATTTTATTTAAAACACTAGAATGTTCTTTGATGGAATGATTTAAGTAGTTAGTAACGACATTAGTAATTTTTGCTCTTAATAAGTCTTTAGATGTATCCGGTATTGCATCTATTATATTTTCTACATCGCCTAAAAAATTATCTAACTTAAACTCTGTTTTTGGTTAGTCCAGTCAGCCCCATAATAGCAACCATCATTTTGGACCATTTGCTGGATGTCATTATTCCACAATTACCTTTCCCTTTACCCTTCATTAAAAAATTTGTAGACGATCTACTGTTCCTACTTCACAAATTCAAAATACCTTAAACATTTTCAATAACTTTAACGAACATATCCAATTTACTTTAGAGATTGAAAATGATTGTTCGATATCATTTCTGGACACCAGAATAATAAGAACAGAACAAAACAAAATATTGTTAGATTGGTATTAAAAGCCAACACACTCTGGAAGATATTTAAACTTTTTTTCAAATCATCCTACTCATCAAAAGTTTAATACAGTCATTGCAATGAATAATAGGGTAAGGCATAATAGTGATGATAAATTCATAAACAACAACTTAAATTTGCTGTTAAACATCTTTCAAAATAATGGATACCCAAAACATATCCTTAAAAAATTGATATTTAACTCTGACATTTTTGACGGTCCACTGATATCGGAGCAGTACAAACAATACAATATAAAAAACTACCATTAATAAAACAGTTAACACCTTCTGTGACTAGTTTATTTAAACCATTTACTAACATTAAAATTGTCCAATATAATTTATTAGAAAACCGACAACTGTTTTCTAAAGTAAAAGACAAGACACCAACTGTAAATAAAACTAATGTTATCTACAAACTGCCTTGTTTGGATTGTTAGAGCTGTTTTGTTCGCCAAACTTCTCAATGGCTAAAACAAAGGGTCACACAACACAAAAGTGACTGCACAAAACAGAAGAATACATGTGTGGCAGTTGACCATCACTTAAAAACTGACCATCAATTTGACTATTCAAATGTCAGGGTTCTACAGCAAGAAAATAATTAAAAAAAAGATTATTTTTGGAAATGTGTCATATAAATAGAGAAAACTATGCAGTAAATTACAAGGCAGACACGGGACAGTTGAGCAATATCTACTATAATATTCTTAGTATGTCCAAATAATTTTTCTGTTTACAATTATATCTTAAATCACACTGTATATTTTTAATGTGTAATTTTATTGTGTTTTAATTGTTTCTTGATTGTTTTTGTTTGCTCTGTTTTTATATTTGATTACTAGTGACCTAGGTGCTTTTAACCAATACTCTCAGTACTGTTTTGAACATATTATGTAAACAACTTTTTTAAATATTTTCAACTCTTAATCTGGAAGTGATTCATTTTTTATTCTCACCTGATTTTTATTTAACTTTTAACCATATTTTAGTTGTCTCCTGATGAAGCTGACAAAACATCAGCGAAACTCCAACACAATCAATTGTTATTTACGTTTCAGTCGATAATCTTACCAGTTTTGCTATATATATATATATATATATATATATATATATATATATATATATATATATATATATATATATATATATATATATATATATATATAAATATACCTATATATCTATTATATGATTGTATATATAACGCAGATGAAACGGGAGTTACAATAGCACATATAAGCTGCAAAAAATCATTGCATTGCAGAAGCAGGTGTCAAAGGCCACATCGTGTGAAAGAGGATCACTGGTAACAATTTTATGTACTATAAGTGTGTCTGGTACCACTTTTCTCCCATTTTTAATTTATCCGAGGGTTAGGATCCAGGATTATATGACAACAGGGCTTCCCATTGGTGCTGATGATGCTGTTAACCCATCAGGCTAAATGGCTACAGCCCTTGGATACTATCGTTTATGGGTCATTTAAAAGATCTTATAATGAAGCAGCCGATAACTGGATGGTTAACAATCCTGCACAGCTGATATCCTTTAAAAAAAATGCCTAAACTTGTGGGAAGTGCTTACGTTCACGCTTTTACATCTGCCAATATCATAGGTGGGTTTTCACATACTTATATTTGTCCATACAATCCAGCTGTATTTACAGATAGTGATTTTACCAGTGCGGAAATTACAGACCGGCCAGATTCATCTCAAGCTTTACAGGCTACAGAAAATTTACTCTTGGCTACGGCTCATACTTCCCAAAATAATCTAAATGTATTTGTAAACCCTAAGGTTATAAGGCCATTTCCGAAAGCTCTTCTACGTAAAAAGAAAGCTGGAAGGAAATGTGGGAAAACACAGATTTTAACGGACACCCCCGAAAAAGACCAAATAGAAAAAAAAAATTGAAGAAAGAGTTAAGAACAAGGAAAAGCAAAATAAAAATAAGGAGGAAAGGGTGGAAAGATTAAAAAAAATTGAAGATGAAAAACAAGTGTCAATTAACAAAATGAAATTAAGATAGTCATGGAGGATTCTAAACAATCTAACGATTCTTCCAATTTTTCTAGTTCTGATAAGTTAACTGATATCGAGGAACAGATTTAACAAGAAAACGCTAAAGAAAGCTTTATGAATCAAGACGTTTGTAAGAATGGCTATGTTCTTGTACGATTTTTTACCAAAAAGATTTTCCGACATTACGTTGCTAAAGTCATAAATATTAATGGCAACGATTTCGACCTATTGTGCATGAGAATAAAACCTCCGGGATACAAATTTGTTTTTTCCGATGTTGCAGATGAATCTTGTGCACCGAGGAACGGTCTTGTTAAGTTACCAAACTCCTCCTTTACTGGAGGAACAGCTAGAACACATAGGAGCCTTTCTTTTTCAGTTGATTTTTCTAAATATGAAAATTTATTCTAATTAGATACATTCTATTTTGGGATATTTTTCAAATGTTTCTTTTTTTTATTATCGTTATTACGGGATTAAATAATACCTAGTTACTTGACTTTATCGTTACCTACGATTCTTGTCTCAAGCCTCCCTATGCTTGCCTCAAACCTTCCTTTTCTTGTCTCAAGCCTCCCCTCATAAGGGAGGTTTGAGACAAGTGCATGTTGTACTTGTGATAGGTAAACTACTAAAATACAAGATATATATATATATATATATATATATATATATATATATATATATATATATATATATATACATATATATATATATATATATATATATATATATACATATATATATATATATATATATATATATATATATATTGTGGGGGTTTAACAAAATAATGTACTATTACGAATTAATAGTACTAAGATTAATACCAGCTATTCCTTCGATAGCTCTGGCAAGATAAATGAACTTTCACTCATAGGTGCAAATAACAAATAATATAAAATTTAAATGGTTGCAAAAACAATCAAAAAACAAACAAAGGTATTAAACTAGGTGAACTTACCGAACCGCTAATTAGGTACCATAATTCACTACTATAAAACCAACCGATTTCGATGCATCGACGCACTCGCGAGGGTTGTGTCTTGCGTCTATTCTGCTCAACGACTTAAGCGCTTGTGTCCTACGGGATGCATAGCATACCCGAACGGTACGAATAGGGATCGAAGGTATACAGGGGGAGGACAAAATGTCTTGATTAATTTATACAACCATATTTGAATTTAAACATTCTCCCCCCTTTAAAGGCCATAAGGTCTTTAAAAAACAAAACGAATTCTAAATACTATCATTACTTAAACAATCAAAACGATAATTACTACAAACAATTCCTATACAAATATTAAACAAATATTCAAAACTTAAACTAAAAAATAAAAAAATTAAAATTAAAATGGTGGTTTTGTCGTGGTTCTATTCATAAAAGCCGAACAAAACAAAATCAGTAAAAAAAAATGCTGACCATTTAATCTTCATCTATCGGCACGGGACAGATTCGGACAAGAGGCCGTTTTAAGGTTCCGGTAATCGTACGCACGGTAGCCACTCGAGCTACACCGTCTTTACCCTCATGTAATTCAACAAGACGCGCGAGAGGCCACTTACACGGAGCCAAATTATCCTCCTTTAAAACAACTAAGGTGCCGATTTTAGGTACAAAACTAGGATCTAACCATTTACACTTTTGTTGCAAGGTGTGCAAATATTCCTTTCGCCATCGAGCCCAAAAGTCTCTATGGATGCGCTGTAACAACTGCCATCTGGACAAACGATTGAAGGATACCTCCGAAAAATCAGGCACAGACAAAGATGTCAAGGGTTCAAGAGTCAGGAAATGTCCTGGGGTCAAAGCATTGAGATCTTCAACATCATTGGTTAAAGGGGTGAGAGGGCGTGAATTTAAGACGGATTCAATTAACGTCAAAACGGTATAAAATTCTTCGTAAGTCAAAATTTGTGCCCCGACTATACGACCAATATGTTCCTTTACAGAACGAATTCCGCGTTCATAAATACCGCCAAAATGTGGAGCAGCAGGAGGAGCAAATGAAAACTTAATATTTTCCTTATCGAGAGCGCTCTCCATAAAGCTACTAAGCTGTCGATAAGCACTGTGGAAATTAGTGCCATTATCACAAAATACTTGCGATACTCGACCTCTCCGAGCGACAAAACGTTGTAAAGCGGCCGGTAGCATGCCTCGCGAAGGCGCATCGGCTGCATTATTTCGAGATTCGATATA